TGATGGAGCTGTTGGTCCTGTCCTGAATCCTGAGGTTTGCCACTGGGTTTGGTTCTGAGAGAAGGAGCATAAAGTTAAGGTTTTCACATCCCCCAATTTCCAAACATCTAGTACAAAATGATGTTCACCATATAGTCCTGATTTTAAAGAAAAACACTCTTAACAATGGGACCTAAACCTCTAAGGTTCAGTGGGACAGGGATGCCTGAGTTTTGTTTATGTTCCAGGGACAATCTCAAAGTTCCAATGACATCTCTTCATTCCCCTCCCACCCCCCAGAAGTCTTACCTGTAGATTCATTAATCGTCTGATTTGTACCATTGACACCATTCTTCTCTGCCCAGACAGTGAATGTGTACAGAGTCCCAGCCTGCAAATCATTCACTGTGATCCTAGGGTCTGTGGTGTTTTGAGTTCCTTCTATGTCTTCCCTCAACCACTGGACCCAGTAAGTGTAGGGTGGTTGGTCTGGGCCCTGGGGTGCTGTCCAGGTCAATGTGATGGAGCTGTTGGTCCTGTCCTGCATCCTGAGATCTGTCACTGGGTTTGGTACTGACAGAAGGAGCAGAAAGTTAGGATTCCAAATCCCTCAGTCCATAAGTGACAAAAACAAAAACACTTTTCTACACAGACTGTTTGTTAAGAAAAACTTCCTACAAGAGTTCCTAGAGACTACCCAAAATGGGTGGCTACAAAGGCAAGAAGTGACTGGCTTACAAGCTTTCAAGAGGGAACCTAGATCCAGAGGGCGTGGAGGAAGGTAGAATCTCCATGGAGTAGTATCCAATATGTCTAGCAGGGCTGATGAAAGGAAATGCCAATAGGTTTCTTGTCATACAATAGTGAATAATTGTTATCAGGACTGATTGTGAAGGTTGGTGTTTTGTAGCAAAAGGAAGGGAGTGATTAACTTTGCAGCCTAGGAGCAGGGACCATCAAGGGAGAAGAGCGGAGAGTGGGACCCTACCCAGAGAAGCAGTGACGCCAGAGATGGAGGCAGAGACGATGACATGGAGAGATGGAGCAGCTGGGGACTTTAGACCCAGAGAGGGAGAGGGGCTGTGTGCTGACGACCAGGGGACAGGCTTGTAGGGTATACCATTTGGTTGGTTGATGATGCATGGAGGGGATTGTAACCATGGCAATGAAACGATGTATGATAGGATGAATGTAAAGCTAATGTTCTCCCATGTAAATTATCACATAATTCACAATAAAACATTTAAAAACAACAACAACAACAAAAAGAGTTCCTAGAGAGACCTGGGCTCCTACAGCCCAGGCTCAGTGGCAGGAAGCTTCTGAAATGCTCTCTTCTGCCTACGGATGATCATGCCAGGACCTAGGCTCTTCCATGCATCCCCTCCAATGCACTGCGAGCACCCACTACTACGCTACACTAGGTGTAGCTCAGTGTCTGAGCCCTCCTGGGGAGTCCAGCTCAGGATGATGCAGCTCTCAGTTAGAACCTCCAGACTCAGTTCCCTACTGGGTTGGAGTCTGAGAAATCGGGAAGAATGGTTTACTGTGAGCAGGGGAGAGAGCCGGCACTGTTCCTTCAGCTGCCCCCAGGTCTTGTCCCAAGTTCAGCCCTTTACTACGGACCATCACGGTGACACTCCACCACCACAACCCCCACCAAGAGGCTCATGGGAATTGAGGTCTAGCCTCTGAGTGTGGGCAGTGAAGTCAGGCAGGATCACTCACCGGCTGCCCTGGCCCCAATCCAGACGCACACGCCCTGGAGAGAGCCCAGAAAAGGAGGAATTAGACCTGAACTCACTTCCCTTCCCCTAGGTGGATGGAACCTATCAGAAATTCCCTCAGCTCCCACCCCTATGAATCACCCTTGCCTGAGGGGAAGGAAGGTCTCAGGTATGCTGTCTCCTCCCAGAGGGCTGAGCTCTGACAAAGGTCATCCCTAACCTGGTGTTTTCTAAAGGGAGAGTGTGGCAGAGGGTGGGGCTGGCTCCAGGCACCTGCCATCTGAGGTTAGCTTGACCGATAAGGTCCAGAGATAAACTTATTGGCTCCACTTCCTGAAATAAAATGCCTTAGAAAACCAAGGGCAGACATTGTTGTTGTTGTTAGGTGCCATCAAGTCCACTCTGACTCACAGCGATGGAAACACTACCGCCCAGTCCTTGCCTACTTCACAGTCCTTGTTAAGGCTTGAACCCATTGCTGTCTGTTGCAGGGGCAGAGAAGTACTCAACAAACTGGGAAGGCAAGAAAGAGACTGGGGTTGGGGCCACGGGCTGGATTTCTAGAGCTGAAGAAGGAGGTTCTGGGAGCTTGTACCAGGTAAAAATTGTCTACTACGTCTGAGGGAGGCGGGATTTAGGAGTCAGGACTTCCTGGTCTGAGGGAGAAGGGAGTCGAAGGTGCCTGGACTCTTAGGTTTGAGGGGAAAGATGCTGAGGGATTAGGACTCCTGGATCTGAGGGAGGAGGGTTGAGATCCTTAATCCTGGTTCTGATTGAGGATGGATATTTGGGGCCCTGGATCCTTAGGTGGAAGTCAGTAGAGAATTCAACACCAGCATTATGCAAGAAAAGGGGTCTAGGGTCCTGAATCCTAGGTCTTTTGAGCATACTGGCATCTTGCCTGAAGCCAGAGTTCAATTTCATAGCAGATGCTGGAATATCTAAAAACCCAGGTCTAAGTATCCCTCACAATTTTCTTCAACCTAGACCCTTACTTCCTGCTGCATGGAATCATAGGCTCCTCCTTCCTCCAGACTAGAAGCCGCAGCCCCCTAGCCCCTCCCACCTTAGACCCAAGATCCCTACCAAGTAGGGAGTACTCACCAGCAACACCAGGCACCCCCAGGCCCTGGGGCCACCGCTGGCCCCAGGCATGTCTCCAGACACTGCACCAGGGACCCAGCAGCCACAGCCCAACACGTTCCACCTCATGGACTTTCAACTCAAGAATTTCCCCTTTCCCAGCCCATTGGTGGGGCCAGAGGCCAGGGCAGGAAGGGGAGGAGGAGGAAGTGGAGGCTTCAGGGGTGACAATCTCACTCAAGTCCTGCATCTCATCCTTCTTCCTCATGTCTCTGCTGCTCCTGAGATGAGAGATGCCCCTGCTCTGGCTCTCCATAGAGTTCCCTCTGTAGCCCCACTTAGACCCTCACTCCCCAGCTCACCTCATTTTATCCCCTGAAGGCTCCTGCCCCACACCGTTGAAATAAAAGCTCCAAAGGCTGGACTCTGTCTCCCTACAAGTTCGATGCATCCACAGTGCAGACCACAGATGACCAGAGCAGAGAGGGAGCTGAAAGAATGTCCATCTCTTAATTGCATATCAATAGTGGTATAATGAGTTGAATTGTGACCCCCGAAATCTGTGTTGCAAATTCTAACTCTTGTACCTATGGTCAGGGAGCTCTGGAGGTGCAGGGATTGAGGACTTGGCTGCCAACCTTTACTGCTCTTGGGATGATGGCAACTAAGGTGACCTCCTTAAGCCTCAGCTGTTCCATGTATAAGATGGAGACAATGAGAAAATTACTCCTAAGGATTCTGTGCAGTTTGTTAGGGGAAGTGGAGGCAGAGGCTGGGACCGGAGTTAGGGAGGGGACACTGGGAAGGTCTTCAGAAGAAGGTGATACAAAGCTGATTTTGGAAGGGACTCCTGGCGTGGTACTGAAGGATCAGAACTAGACTGCGAACCACATGGTTGTCAGTTCAAATCCACTAAGCGCTCCTTGGAAACCCTGTACAGGGTCACTATGTTGTTGTTGTTGTTAGGTGCCATCAAGTCAGTACTGACTCAAAGCAACCCTATGCACAACAGAACAAAATACTGCCCAGGCTTGGGCCAACCTCACAATCGTCGCTACATTTGAGCCCATTGATGCTGTCACTATGCCAATCCACCTGTTGGGGAGTCTTCTTTTTTTAATCCGATGATTCACTTTACCAAACATGATATCCTTCTCCAGTAACTGGCCCCTCCTGACAATATGTCTGAAGTATGAAAGACAAAGTCTGGCCATCCTGGCTTCCAAGGAGCACTCTGGCTGCACCTATTCCAACACAGACCTATTGGTTCTATGGGCAGTCCATGGTACTTTCAATATTCTCCTCCAACACCATAACTCAAAAGCATCAATTCTTCTACAATCTTCCTTATTCACTGTCCAGCTTTCACATGCATATGAGGTTATTGAAAATACCATGGCTTGGGTCAGGCACACCTTAGTCCTCAAGCTGACATCTTTGCTCTTCAGCACTTTAAAAGGTCTTGTGCAGCAGATTTGCCTAATGCAATACATCCTTTGATTTCTTGACTGCTGCTTCCGTGAGTGTTGATGGTGGATCCAAGCAAATTGAAGTCTTTGATAACTTCAATCTTTTCTCCATTTATCAGGATATTATCTATTGATACAATGGTGAGGATTTTTGCTTTCTTTACTTTGAAGTGCAACCCATACCGAGGGCTGTGGTCCTTAATCTTCATCAGTAAGTATTTTAAGTCCTCTTTGCTTTCAGCAAGCAAGGTTGTATCAACTGCATATCACAGGTTGTTCGTGAGTCTTCCTCCAATCTTGATGCCACATTCTTCTTCATGTAGTCCAGCTTCTCAGATTATTTGTTCGGCATACACCTCTTCCTTCAGTATCTCTGGTTATTGGTCATATGCTACCTTCTGAAAAGGTTGAACCGTCTACCAATTCATTTGGGTACAATGACTTCTTTTTTTAAAACTTTTTATTGTGTATTTAAGTGAATGTTTACAGAGAAGATCATCAGTTTTACATTCATCATGTCATATAATTTGTTTCATTACAATGATTGTAATTCCCCCTTCCCCCATGTGCCAACAGTTAACAGCATTTACCTCTATTCATTTTAACTATTACTCCTCCCTGTACCTCCTACTGCCTTCATCTTTCCTTGGCTAACCTCACTCTTGTTAAATATCACCTGCCTTGTCACCCATTTTTAATGAGGCTTTCTACTCCCGTAAAGATTTACACCCTCGGAAACCCTGTACAGGGTCGCTATGGGTCGGAACCGACTCGGCGGCACTTAACAACAACAACGTACTCTCATCAGTGAATAACTTCCTCTCCCCCGTCCCCATAACCATCATAGATTGTTTCTTTTACTAATAACACCTTTTCTAAACCTCTTACAACATTGATTTCGTACAATATCTATCCTTTTGCGATTGACTAATTTCACTCAGGAGTTCTGGTGTGGTGCTGTGGATTAATGTGCTGGACTGTAAGGTTTGTTTGAACCACAAAGTCGGCAGTTCAAGCTTACCAGCCAATCCTCGGAAACCCCACACAGGGTCACTATGTGTCGGAACCTTCTAGATGGCACCTGACAACAATTTCACTCAGCATAGTGCCCTCCAGGTTCATCAGTGTTGTGAGGGGTTTCGCAGCTTAATCATTATTCTTCAGTGTTGCGTAGTATTCCGTTGTGTGTATGCACTGACTTTTATTTAATCATGCTACTGTTGATGGGGATTTAGGCTGACTCCATCTTTTTGATATGTCTCTTAAATACAGCATATTGAAGGATCCTGTTTTCTTATCCATTCTGCTCTTTCTGTTTCTTGACTGGTGCATTTAATTCATTTACACTCAGTGTAATTCTTTATAGATATTAATTGATTGCTATAATTTTGCTCTGTGTGTGTGTGTGTGTGTGTGTGTGGTTTCTTTGTTCCACGTAATTTTCTGCTTTGAGTTCATTTTGTTTGTGGGTTTTCCTTTCATTTGTATTTCTGTTATGTTCATGTTTATTAAATCTTTCTGATTTTCCTCTTTTTAAAATTCTTTCATGTACAGGCATACTAATTTTCTTTGAGGTTAATCTGTAATTTACTTTTATGCCGATTTAAAACAGTCTGTTTTGTCTTAAAATCTACTTCCTTGCCATTTGGAATTTCTGTATCTACACTATCCTCTCATTTTGCTTTGTCGTTGACTTGTTATAAATTGATATCTCTGGTTCCCTATTTTCAATCTTGTAGGTTTGTTTTACTTTAAATGCTTCTGTATCTGGAGTCCTGGTGTGACACTGTGGGTTAATGTGCTGGACTCCAGGATCATTTTGAACTGCAGGGTTAGCAGTTCAAACTCACCAGCTGTTCCTTGGAAACCCTATATAGAGTCATTATAAGTTGGAACCGAGTTAATGACATGTAACAATAACAACCTATCTGGACTGGTCTTGTCATGTATGTTCATCTTGTCATGTATGCTAATCTTGTGTGGGTTAATCTCAGGTTATTGTCTGCTATTATTGATTCTCAGTCCAAAGAAGACCCTTTGGCATTTTTTGTAAAGTTGGTCTGGTCATTATAGAGTCCTTTAATTTCTGTTGATCAGGAAAGGTTCTAATTTTGCCATTGCATTTGAAGAACAGTTTTGCTGGGTATATGATTCTTGGTTGGCATTTTTTTGTTTGTTTCAGAGTTTATGTGTGCCATCCATTGCCTTCTTGCCTGCCTGGTTTCTGTTGAGAAATTAGAGTTTAGTCATATCGGTTTTCCTTAGTAGGTAATGTTTTGTTTTTCCTAAGCTGCTCTCAGGATTCTTTCCTTTTCTTAAATTTTGGAAAGTTTGATTATCATACATCTTGGTGATTCTCTTGTGGGGTCTCTCCTACTTGGGATTCATTCAGTTTCTTGTGTGATTATCTTTTCATCTTTCATGATGTTAAGAAAGTTTTCTTCCAACAACTCTTTGACAATTTTCTATGTGTTTTTTGCTGTCTCTTTCTGTTCTGGAATTCCGATTACTTGTAAGTTGTTCCTTTTCATGGTGTTCCACGTGATTCTTAGGCTTTCTTTGGATTTTTTCATTCTTTTTTTTTTCTGATTGTTCTTCTAACACACTAGTATGGAGACATTTATCTTGAAGCTCACTAGTTCAGGTTTCCATTGCTTGGAGTCTAGCCCATTGTCCTTTAATGCATTATCCATTTCTGAAATCTTAGCATTAATCTTCTGGATTTCTAATTGCGGGTTTTATATTGTTTCAAAATTTGCATTTATTTTGTGTTTGTTCTTGTAGTACTTTACTGAATACTTCTAGTTTTTTCTGTGTTCTCCTTGCTTTCCTCAATCTTTCTGTAAGTACTATGTTGTTGTTGTTAAGTGCCGTCAAGTCAGTTCCGACCCATAGCGACCCTGTATAGGGTTTCTGAGGAGCAGCTGGTGAGTTTGAACCACTGACCTTGCAGTTTAAATGGCTTTGTAGTCTGGCGCATTAACCCACAGTGCCACACCAGGACTCTGAAGGTACCTAAATGTCATTCTTTTGAATTGTTTTTTGTTCTGCTGTGCATAAGGTCGCTATGGGTCGGTACCGACTTGATGGAACCTAACAACATCAACAACAAAATATCATTCTTTTGAATTCTTTTTCAGTTAGTTCTATTACCTTTTCTCCTTCAGAAATGTTTTCTGGCTCTGCATCTTGGTCGTTTGTTTGAGCCCATTCTGTCTTGGTTCTTCATGGGAGCAAAAATAGTCTGCCACCTCCAGAGCACTGTGGGGTTGTTGTGTTTGTATTTAATTGATGCTTGTATGTTGATGTGCTCATAGGGTCTCACCAACTGTCTTCTGTGGGTGTAATTAAAGACTGGAATCATGTATATTGTTTTGTGCACTTCAGTTTAGGGTGGGTGTGGCTGGTGTTGGCTGATGCCTGTTGTTGATCAGATGGTATAGGAGTTGGTATTGGTTCTTGCCCAGTGGATGGAGATGCAGAGGGTCTGCTTGTGGCTGGTCTGTATGGGAATGGTTGCTGTCTCCTGTCGGGTGGGAAGGAGAAAAACCCCTCCCATACATGCACACAAGAAAATAAAATAGAACAAAGAAATAAGGGACCAACCATGAAAAATAGAAAATAATAAAGAGGAAAAAAATAAATAAAAACAGACAGCAACCAGAAAAAAAAAAAAAAAGGATATAATATCCATAAAGACAAAAGAACAGGGAAATGAAGCTGTAGAGGAAAAAAATAAGAGAGAAAATAAAAGGAAGAAGATAAAAAAAACAACAACCCATAACTAAAAAGAGAAAGA